TGGTGCATGCCTTTAATCCCAGCACTCGGGAGGCAGAAGCAGGTGGATCTCTGTGAGTTCAAGGCCATCCTGGTCTACATAGTGAATTCCAAGCCAGCTGGGGCTACAGGGAGACCCTGTCTCAAAAAGACCAAAAAAAAAGAATGTGACATAGTTGAGGAAGCTTGGGTTCCTTGTGTGATTTTGATTTTTTAAAATATATTTTTTAATATTTTAAAATGTTATTTTTATGTGTATGAGTGTATTGCCTCCATGTATGTAAGTGCACCTGTGTCATGCAATGCCTGCAGAGGTCAGAAAAGGACATTGGATCCCATGGAATTGGAGTTAATGGACTGTTGTTAGTTGCCATGTGGGTGCTGGGGATTAAATTTTGGCCCTCTGCAAAAGCAGCTAGCACTCTTAACTGCTGTACTATCTTTCCAGCCCCCTGACCTTTTTTTTTTTTTTCTTTTTTTTTTGGAGACAGTGTCTCCCTGTAGCACCAGCTAGCTTGGAACTCATAATGTAGACCAGCGTGACCTCGATCTCACAGAGATCCGCCTGCCTCTGCCTCTGGAGTGCTGGGGATTAAAGGCATGTTCTACCATGCCCAGCTTGAATTCTTCTTTGGAAGGACACAATAACTCAAGGAGCATGAAGCTGAGGGAGGCTTGACTGCAAGCCAGAGGAGGCTGTTATAATGTGCTCCAGCCTCTATGCATTGCCAGAACCTTCAGTGACATCTCTCATGGCTGTCTCTTCTGGCAAAGATGCAGTGTATTTTTTGGAGGTGGTGGTATGAGTTTCCAAAGACTCCTTCATCTGAGAAAGAGAATGGCTGCTAGGTGTGGTGGTGCTTGCCTTTAATCCCAGCATTGAAAGGCAGAGGCAGACGTATCTCTGTAAATTCAAGGCTAGTTTGGTCTATATAGCAATTTCAGGGCCAGTTTGATCTATATAGCGAGTTCCAGGCCAGCTGGGGATTCAGGGAGACCCTGTCTCAAAAAAAAAGAGAATGGCTAGTTCTTTATCCAAGGTTGTAGAGTACAAACCTTTTTTCTTGGCAGTCATGATGTGATAGTGATGTATAGGGTTTAGTCCTCTTGGTTCTTCCCAGTGCACCAAACATGAATTAAAAGTAAGGTGCCATCAACTGCTGCTGAGAGACTGAATACCTTTCCTGCTTACTACTGGAGCAGATTGGACTAGTAGGTGGAAGTGGGTAAGGTCCAAAAGACTGACACGTGGGCTCCCATTGAACTCATGTTTCTGGCCCTACAGACATTCTACCTGCCTTTGCTCTAGTATATTGCTACTTTCCTGCTGTTTGGGATCTTTGTTTTGTTTAGCAAGTGCTGGGGTCTGGGCACTGCTCTATCCTGAGCCTCTGCCTCATCCTCTGAGGTATTAAGCACTGTCAGGACTAGGCACTGCCCTGGGGTTTCCTGCAAAGAGGTAGAAACCCTGGGACTGCCATGGGTTTGGGCCACCCCAGGACCACATGCCCAACCCAGGAATGCCTAGTGACCGATACTATGCTCACTCATCTTAAGCCTGTGTCCTTGATGGTGTTTGCACTGAGCCTTGGGCATTCCCTCACCTACTTTATGAATGTTTATCTGTGACCAAACTTAGGGGTGTTCAGAGTAGAGCATTTTTAGCCACTGTCTGGGTATGTGTATATGTGCTCTTTCAGGGGTTCCACAGCCTGTGCACACCAGGGCCCTGCCCAGACCTCCAGGAGTATAGTTGTGAGTGGCTAGAGGGAAGTCCACACCATCAGGTCAGTGCTCAGTGAAGGAGAAAAAGAAGCAATGAGGATACTGGTGCCCCTGTGAAAGGAGCCAGCAAGGTTACTATGATAAAGGCACCTGCTGCATGAGTTCAGTTTCTGGAACCCACATGGTGAAAGAAGAGGACTCCTTCAGATTGTCCTCTGACCTCCACATGTGTGCTGTGGTGGGTATACATGTCCACTACGTCGTGCACACACTCGATAAATGTAAAAATAATTGTAATTAAGATAGTTTCCCACACCGCATCCTCCCCCCAGAAGACTCTAAATACAGAGGCTCTCAATAACGAGGATAGAGAGCCAGGGTGCACAGGCAGCCCCTACTGACTGCTATGTTTCACTGCAGCGCACTTACCGAATGCCAAAGGAGATCCGGGTGGAGCCACAGAAGTTTGCTGAAGAGCTCATTCATCGCCTAGAGGCTGTCCAGCGCACTCGGGAGGCTGAAGAGAAGCTGGAGGAGCGGCTGAAGCGTGTACGGATGGTGAGTGGGCTGTGTGCCAGGGTCATGCCCACACCACTGTTGCCTGTGGCTTAAAAGTCCTGCATTTAGGATGGCCTCCATTCTGAGGTAGCCTCCTTCACCTGCTTGTCACTGTGTTGCTCTGACCCTCCAACCCTCACACTCAGCACCTTGTCCCTGGCCCTTTTGCTATTATCTAAGCTCAGTGCTTCCCCTAGCACCCCAGTTTGCCACCATGGGAGGCCAGGAGGTGTTCTTGAGGTTTCCAGTATTTGAAGAAGATGAAGCTGACATAGCTGCCTGTGTGCTTAATCTTGGCCAGTGGCAGGAGCAGAGCTAAGGCACAGTGGGGCCATGGCATGAAGGCTGGGGACATGCAAGCTCCTTTCCTACTCAGGGAACACTGGACTGTACAGCAACTTTCCCATCCCTTAGAGCTTATCTTGGTTCATTGAGGCACTGCACGTTTTGTACATTTGGTTTCTCTGTGCTGCTATAGAAAGATTTTCTTTTTTTCTTTCGGTCTTTTTGAGACAGGGTCTCCCTATAGCTCCAGCAGTTCTGTAACTCACTATGTAGACCAGGCTGGCCTTGAACTCAGAGAGATCCACCTGCCTCTACCTCCCAAGTGCTGGGATTAAAGGCGTGTACCACCACGTCCAGCTCATGAAAGACTGTTTATGAAGGAGCGTGGTCATCACTCTATGTACTGTTCTATGAAAAACAATTTAAACACCTCAAAGTTCAAACTTTTTCTTACTTTTTCCTATCCTCCTTGGTCCCTTTCTCTTTCCACAGACAGGGTCTTGCTGTAATCTGACTGATCTGGTATTCACTATGCAGCCTAGGCTGGTCTCTCACAGCAGTCATCCTGTTTCAGCCTTCTAGATGCCAGGCTTATAGGTGTCCACCACTGCCTGGCTAAGATCAAACTTTTTTTTTTTTTTTTTGAGACAGTTTTCTTTTTTTGAGGTTGGCCTCAAACTCACTGTGTAACCCTGGCTGGCCTCAAACTCACAGAGATCTTCCTGCCTCTGCCTCCTAAGTGCTGGCATTAAAGGCAAGATTAACATTTATTATTTTAGGTGAATTTTCATATGTGATGATCCTCTATGGAGTTATTTCTCCATTGCCTACCTGATACTCTTATTTGACATGTGAATCCCAGCCCTATCAAAGCTTGAGACCTCAGGCAAGGCCTATCATTGACTTATCAACTCCCTGGATGAGCTCTGTATACCTTCGCAGCAGGTCCTACCCTCCAGAGGCAGGGCTCATGATGGCACCAGAGATAGTCCCATAGACTGGAGGCTAAGATTAAAAAGACAAAACAAACCAGGCAGTGGAACTCCAAGAAGGGGTTTGAGTGAAAGTATTTTAACATGGGTGTTCTCTCATGTGTGCATACACATACACACCCTTACCCTTAATAAGTTGTTTTGCCTTTGAAACCAGCAGCATTCTCTCCTGTTCTTTTGGCAGTTGGGGAGATATACATTAGACTGGCAGGTAGTCCCTTCTGTGTTGGCACTGCCACACACCTACTAGCCACTATGCAAAAGCAGCATCACCCATCGTGCAGTGCTGGTGAGCTATGTTGAGACTGGGCTTTGAGCAAACTATAATTCAGGGTGGCTATCTTTTTGCTAGGGGCACCCCATGATTAACCAGGCATCTGGCGGATAGTGAGGACAAACTGAGACCAACCATCTTTTGGAACAGAGAAGAACTTATAGGGTGGTTGAAAGAGAGGGAGACACACAGTTGTAGCATTTACAGTGGTGGTTGAAAAAAACAAACTGAACAGCACTCGGGAGGCAGAGGCAGGTGGAGCTCTATGAGTTCAAGGCCAGCCTGGTCTACATAGTGAGTTCCAGGACAGCTTGGGCTACAGGGAGACCCTGTCTCAAAGAGACGAAAAAAAAAAAAAAAATCAATCAGTCAGCCAGGTGTGAAACTCTGTTTCAAAAAGACCCCTCCCCCAAATTAAATAAATAAAGTGGGAAACAGTAATGACACAAAACATGGACTTACCTGGGTTCTAAGTCCTGGGTCAACTGTTGTGGCCAAGTCAGCATTTTCATTTCTGTAGCAGAGTGTTTCACAGACATCACCTCTTCTGTAAGGGGAGTCCTCTGGGTCTCACAGCTGACTCTGAAAACAGTCTCTTGAAGAAACCCACTATGCTGTCCCATATCTGGAGTACACATTCTTTTTAGTTCACCTGGGCTCAGGCAGTTCCTGGTCCTGGTCCTAAGGAGTTAACACTGAGCTAACAAGGCAGAGGTAAACAGATGGTGTGTGATTGCCTGATGTCTGAGCCATAGAGCAGCCCCTCAGCTCTGTGGAGTCCTAACTGTGGCCAGATTGGATGGCTCTGTCCTCAGCAACAGGGAGGGCAGCAGGTGCAACATAATATCCCTAGTGTTAGCACTACAGCTCTTGGGAAGGAGAGACTAGGATTAATGTCAAGGCTGAGCACAGTGGCATTATTTGACATAACACTAAAATGGAAAGCCCAGAATGGTTCTCTCGTATCAGCTCAGGAAATAATCTTTGACCAGATGGCCTACAGCTTATGTGGGCTGCTGTGTGCACTAGCCTTCATCTGTGTGTGCCAGCCTGTCTTACTAGTGTCTTCCTTGAGTGGATGGCAGTAAAACCACAGATTGCTGTAGCATATGATTCTGTGGCTTGTGTATATCAATACATTATACTATAGGTAAACCTTTTTGTAAAGGAATAATCACCTGTTTTTAAAATAACGTTTTCATTACAAAATTGAGGAAATAAAAGTTCTGGGATTTAGAGAGCTAGCTCAGTGACTAAGAGCACTTGCTATACAATCATGAGGATCGGAGCTCAGATTCCAGCACTCACATAACAAGCTGGGCATCCCACATATGCCTAAAACCCCAACTTTTAAAAGAAAATATTTATTATTTGTATTTTATGTGTCTGAGTGTACTATCTGCATGTATGTGAGTGCACCTGTGTTGTGCAATGCTGCAGAGGTCAGAAGAGGGTGTTGGATTCCCCTGGAACTGGAGTTAAGGATGGTTCATAGCTGCCATGTGTGTGCTGGGAATCGAAACCAGGTCCTCTGCAAGAGCAGTCAGCTCTTAACCGCCGCAGCATCTCTCCAGCCCCTGAAACCCCAACTTTAAGGGAGGTAGAGACAAAAAATATGCTGGGACTTTCTGGCTTCCAATCTCGATCAGAAATTACAAGCCCACATGTTCAGGGAGAGATCCTCCCTTAGAGGATTGGGTGGAAAGTGATACAGGAGGATACACCTGATGCTATCTTCTCACCTCTACATGTACCAAATGAGATGCTGTACAGGTTCCAGGTCAAACCCCAGGTAGGAGGGTGTACTCCCACCTACCATTGCCTGCACTTAGGTATATGTGCATATTCATTCATTAGTTCTCTCTCTCTCTCTCTCTCTCTCTCTCTCTCTCTCTCCCACACACACACACACACACACACACATACACACACATCATTCACTTAAAAATTACTCCAAGAAGACAGTGGCCAGCATGATAGTAGCACAGGCTTACAATCCTAACACTTGGGAATGGCAGGGAGGAGATCAGGAATTCAAGATCATCTTTGTCTCTATAGGGAGTTTGAGGCTAACCTGGTCTACATAAGACCCTGTCTCAAAAGAAAAGCATCTCTGCAATTTGAGTAGTGATGTGGCCCAGTGGTTAGAATGCTTACTTAGTTTGTGCAAGGCCCTAGGTACCCTCTCTATCACAAATAAATCCTACAGTTGAATTCTTATAAATGAATAACAATTAAGAAAAGCTGAGCCTTAAGGGACTGGAGAGATGGCTCAGAGGTTAAGAGCACTGGCCGTTCTTGTAGAGGACCCGGGTTTGAATCCCAGCACCTGCGTAGTGACTAACAACTGTCCATAACTCCAGTTTCAGGGGATCTGAAACTGTCCTCCATGGGCACTGCAGGACACAGATGCACTTACACACAATGCAGGTGCATAACACTCAAACACATAAAATAAAAATTAATTTTAGGGCCGGGCATGGTGGCACACACCTTTAGTCCCAGTACTTGGGAGGCATAGGCAGGCGGGTCTTTGTGAGTTCAAAGCCAGCCTGGTCTACATAGTGAGTTCAGGTCAGCTGGGACTGCAGGGAGACCCTGTCTCAAAAAAACAAGAAATAAACAAACAAACAAACAAATAAATAAATAAATAAATAAATAAATAATTTTTTAAAAAGCTGAGTCTTGACCCAAGGTGGTCCCATGGCTGTATGTTCCCCTTCCTTCCTCCTGCTTTAGGGAAAATGGCATTAAAACTTGAAATGGGGCCAGTGAGATGCCTCAGTGGGTAAAGGTACTTGCCACTGAGCCTGACAACCTGAGTTCTATCCCTGGGATCCACATAGTGAAAGGAGTGAACTGACTCCTGCCACTCTGCCCCCAAACATGCACCATGACGCGCACGCGCACTCACACACACACAGAGCACAAATAAATAAATAAATGTAAAACAAAAAAATTTTCTTTTTTTTTGAGGCAGGGGCTCCTTGTAGCCCAAAGAGGCCTAGAACTGTGTAGACCAGGCTGGCCTCAATCTCAAAGAGATCTGCTTGCCTCTTTCTCCTGAATGCTGGGATTAAAGGTGTGTATCACCATGCCCAGCTAAAAAAATGTTTTTAAGGGTCTGGAGAGATGGCTCAGCAGTTAAGAACACTGGTTGTTCTTGCAGAAGACCCAGGTTCAAATCCTTGCACCCACATGGCAGCTAACAGCTGACTGTAACTCCAGTTCCAGGGGATCCAGTGGCCTCTTCTGTCCTCTGCGGGCATTGCATGACATGAGTGTACTTGCCTACATGCAGACAATACACTCATACACATAAAATTAAAAAAAAAAAGTTTTTAATAAGAAAATTCACTTGAAAGAGAATAAAACCCTTATTTACTGAGACTGTAAAACTAAACCCAGGTGGGCTGGAGCAATGGCTCAGTGGTTAAGAACACTGGTTGTTCTTATAGAAGACCCAGGTTTGAATCCCAGCACACACGTGGCAGCTAACAACTGTACATAACTCCAGTTCCAGGGGATCCAACAACCTCTTCTGTCCTCCACAGGCATGATACATGCAGGCAATACATGCATACACACAAAAAAAATAATAAGTAAAATATTAAAAAATAATAATAATAAGGCCGGGCATGATGGTGCACACCTTTAGTCCCAGCTCTCGGGAGACAGAGGCAGGCGGAGCTCTGTGAGTTCAAGGCCAGCCTGGTAGAGCTCTGTGAGTTCAAGGCCAGCCTGGTCTCTGTAGCGAATCCAGGCCAGCTAGGGAGACCCTGTCTCAAAAAGACCAAAAAAATAAATAAATAGTAATAACAAAAACTAAATCCAAACAGAGCCCTCTCAGTGGCACAACTGATACTGGACCCTTTATGCCCTCAGCCTTTTCTTGCCCTACAGTCTAACCTGACAGAAACAGGTTTGGTGAGGTCAGATGAAACTCCTGGGGCCTTCTGAGGTTCAGGCACAGTGTCCAGGAGCCTACACCTCTCCTTGACCTGGCCACACTCCAGGCAGGGATGTCTTTGTTCTGACCTCTAGGACTGTGGCACACTTCCAGGACCATCCTCATATTTATTCTAACTATGCTGTTCTCTCCCCACAGGAGGAAGAAGGTGAGGATGGTGACCTGCCTTCTGGCCCCATGGGGACAAGTCACAAGCTGCCTTCTGTCCCAGCCTGGCACCACTTCCCACCCCGCTACATGGACATGGGCTGCTCTGGACTGCGGGATGCCCATGAAGAGAACCCTGAGAGCATCCTGGATGAGCATGTGCAACGGGTCATGAGGACACCTGGCTGCCAGTCACCTGGTCCAGGCCATCGCTCCCCTGACAGTGGGCATGTGGCTAAGACTACAGTGCTGGGGGGTACAGCTTCTGGCCATGGGAAGCACATGCCTAAGTCTGGGTCAAAGCTGGATACAGCTGGCCTGCACCATCACAGGCATGTCCATCACCATGTTCACCACAGTTCAGCCAGGCCCAAGGATCAGATGGAAGCTGAAGCCACCCGCAGGGTCCAGAGCAGCTTCTCATGGGGCCCAGAAATACATGGCCATGTCAAACCCCGCAGCTATTCAGAAAGCACAGGCATCATCCTCAGTGCTGGGGACTTGGCCTTTAGGTGAGTCCTGCCCCAGCCCTGCCACATGTTCCCTGTGTGTCCTTGTTCCCAAGTTGTGGTCTATAGGAGCTATGACCCTATGGTAACCTGATCCTCCCCATAAAGGTCATAGGACACTAGGGGCAGAGGCTAGACAGACACTAGGCATTGCTGTTACTGGGTAAGGAGAGACTGTGGGTTTGTTTTAGGCTGTCATCAGCAAGGCTCTCCCATCATATTAAAACACTCTAGACAGCCAGCTACACAGCAGGATACAGGCCCTTTTGTCAGACTTGAGAGTTTAGAAAGCAGCAAGGAAGACCAGAGTAACCTCATGTCTTGCTCTCACAGTGGTAAGGCCAGTGCACCCTCCAAACGAAACACTAAGAAGGCAGACTCTGGGAAGAACACCAGTGCTGAGGTACTGGGTGCCACTGAGGATGCAGAGAAGAACCAGAAGATTATGCAGTGGATCATTGAGGGAGAGAAGGAGATCAGTAGGCACCGGAAGGCGGGCCATGGGTAAGTGTCCTATATAGGGGCCTGCCCCAGAGTAGCTGACCACCTGTCTTCTTGTTACCAGCTCCCTTGGTTTTAGGAGGTTATTTCTGGCTTTTAGGTCAGATGTCTCCACCTAAGAGTCCCTGTCACCTGTGATCTTACATAAGCGGCAGCTGTAGGAGAGCTTCTGTCTCTTACACCTCTTTGTTCCCGTCCCTGAGAGCCAGAGGCTGCTTAGCCTTAATGCAACATCTTTGGAGGTCACCTCATCTGTCTTGTCTATTGTGTGTCTACACATGTTCCTGACCGCATAGAGGGGAGTTGTCACGCTCACAATCCTCTGTGTAGCCAGGAGCAAGCTCATTTTCTCAGTCCCAGATTCCTCTAATATGCTGCCTGCTCCTTACACCTCCCTCCACATACTTAGCAAGGGTAGTTGGGAAGCTACCTTTCTGTGGAGCAGAAAGAACCCTGTTCTTTTGCAAGCACAAAGTCTGTCCTCCGGGAAGCCTGTCAGGAGTTCATGTTGACTACTCAAATTGCTATGTATTTGAAGCTAGCCTTGAACTTCTGATCCTCCTTCCCCCACCTCCCAATTACTAGGATTACAGGCATACACTACCATATCCAGCTCAGCCTGGTAATTTAGCAAGACCTTTATTAAAAATAAAGGGGGCCAGCAAGATGGCTCAGTGGGTAAAGTTAACTACCACCAAGCCTGACAACCTGAGTTTCATCCCTGGAACCGACATGGTGGAAGGAGAGAACAGACTACTTCAGGTGGTCCTCTGACTTCTACTGATACTGTGGTACATGTGTGTGCCCACACACATACATACCCACTCTTATCACACACGCCCCACAGTAAATTAAAATGTAATAAAAACTTCAAAAATAAAAAATAGGACTGGAATATAGCTCTGTGGCAGAGCATTTGCCTAGCATGTACAAATCCCTGGTTGAATCTGCAAACCATATGCAAAAAGTCTGCAAGAAGGGAAGGGGAGAATCTGTCTACGATCAGACGCACCTAACTTCCATAGTTAGGTGTAGACACAACTTGGTTGCTCCCAACTCTCAGGCAGACACTTGTCCTTACTCCCCAAGGTCTTCTGGGATGAGGAAGCAACAGGCCCATGAGAGTTCCAGGCCCTTGTCCATTGAGCGTCCTGGGGCAGTGCACCCCTGGGTCAGCGCTCAGCTCCGGAACTCTGTCCAGCCTTCTCATCTCTTCATCCAAGATCCTACAATGCCACCCAACCCAGCCCCCAATCCCCTGACCCAGCTGGAAGAAGCTCGTCGGCGTTTGGAGGAAGAGGAGAAGAGAGCCAGTAAGCTACCTTCCAAGCAGAGGTAGGCCCATAGGGTAGCCTCAACATGGCCCCAAGGCCTGAATCTCATGTAAAAGGCTCTTTCAGGAAGATAGCTATGCTGGGCCCCTCCTGAGAACCACAGAGGGCCGTGAGGTGAATGTTCTGTCTTTCTTGGGAAAAGGACACTCCAGTTAATTCCTGATTTGTATGAGACATTGGGGGATCTGCAACATTGCTGGGATTAGCCAGACACATGGTCACATGGCCAGTAGCTGATAGATATGCTGGGCTTAGGGATGAATGTCCTGGCCATCTCTGACAGCCATGCAAAGCACAGCCATGGGGACAATGCTGTACAGCTCTGAAGCACAGTCAGTTGTTAAGACTTCTCTGGAGAGGCCACAGCTCCCAGTTCTCACGATGTCTTCCTCAGCCTCCAGAGCATCATCAGCTTCAAACCTACTACCACCACAGCTCAGCAAACCTATTTTGTCCCTAGGGGAGTGTGTTCTGCTCAGACTACAGGGAGACCTCTCTTTAGGTAGCAACATTCTCCAGGACAGACTGATCTGACCTTTTCATCTTGACTTGAATCAAAGGATTCCTGAACATTCTGGCTTATTGGAATTCCCAAATGGATAAAGGTCTTCTTGAGGGCTTGGGATCTGTTTCTTACCTAGTCCCTAGGACCGTGGTCATACAGTGACAACTGTTTCCTTTAGAAACCACTGGCTCTTTCATCCAGCTTTGGTCATGTGGGGTCTGACCTCACTCCTAAGGGTTCTCAACTGCCTGTTGGGCTACAGCTCATGTCTGGCAGGCTGTGTGGTGTTAGTCTGTATCAGGGTCGATCTGAAGCTGCCCCTAGAAGCCTAGGTATTCCTTGGTTACTGTTAGTCTTTATGGACCCACATACAGGCCATCTGATCCTGTACTAGCTTTGGTACTAGAACAGGTTACAGTGACCTTGAACTCAAGGAGCCACTTTGCCACTTACTTTGAGCCACCTTAGACTCTTGTTCTATGCAGGAAAAGCTCCTGGGGCTGAGGTGCTGCATGTTTCAACAAGGGCCTGAAGCAGTAGAACAGGGTATCATGTGGGGCCTGCTAAAGCAGAGGCCCTTAGTGGCCTGGACAGGGTACTTTCCAGAGAGACAAGGTGCTACTCTTGGAGATAGGTAGGATTCTCTTCTAGGGCAAGGGTTGTATCATCTGTCCTTCCTACCAGCATCCAGCAGGCCATATCTGATGACATGTGCCACCAATAGCACAAAGATGAACTGCTTTGGTCTAAGTGTCATGGGGCATAACTGTCCCCATGAGGTCTCAGCTGTTGACTCCAGCATCTTCATGTGTAGGGAAACTGGAGGTACAGTCTCTCTGTCCAGGGGCCTGGAACTTTATGAACAAGTGCAGATGGGTAAAAGCCCCAGGCAGACAGGATGCTGGATCCCTGGCCTTGGCAGGCCTTCCTAAGATGAGTCAGAATAGAAGTTGCTGATAGGGTCCCATAGTGCCATACTCAGGTGTGGGATTGGGTCCACTTGAAAAGGTTCTGCTATGCAGAGAACTTAAGACAGACCTCAGTCATGGCAACCTCAAGGTGCAGGCAGAACCATGCCAATGTCTATACCTGGTATTCAGGAAGTTCATGAGAGAACTGTTCAGAAAGAGCCACACCCCTGGGAGGCAGGTCCTCTTCAAGAGCCACTTAGCCCAGAGAAGACGTGCTAGCGGGAGGTAAAGAGGCAGCTTCTAGCACCTAGATCAGCAGTTCTCCAGAGTGTGTTCGAAAAAACAGTCTGACATTGCACCTGTGGCAGGGCATCTGGCACCACATGAGTGGGAGCAATTGGCGGGTGGGTCTTGCTCACCCTGCCTATGCCTGCTCTCTACAACATTGGCTGAGCCCCATCCCCTTTGATGCGGGTTGTTCCCTAGGTATGTGCAGGCAGTCATGCAGCGGGGACGCGCCTTTGTCAGGCCAGCATGTGTGCCAGTGCTGAGTGTGGTACCAGCCGTGTCGGACTTGGAACTCTCCGAGACAGAGTACGTGCGCCCTGTGGGTTCTCCTAGTTCTGCCCATCCTGGCCCAGGCCAAGTCCCAAGATGGAGCACCTGTTTTATTAAACTTTGGCACTGAGCCAGGAAACACTGGGTCTGGAGAAGGATCTACTGGGACTTCTGTTCCTTCCTCTCTCCCAACAGAGGAGACCTTGCCTGTCCAGTGACATGACCATCAGGCCTATATGTGATCTATGCAGCTGCCACACACAGCCTGCCTTTCATCTTGTCTTTGTCCTGAGCTTCTGGGAACTTGCAGGTCTATCATCCCTACTATCATCCTACACAGAGTCAGGTCCACAGTCCTAGTCCCCCCGAAATGGTACCAGGGACACCAGATACACCGGCTTTGTAACAGAATCTGGATAGTGTGACTGCAGCCAGTACTGAGGCTCTGCACCTTTTCCTGTAGTGGCCACATGTAGGTAGTGGAGACATTGCTGACTATACCCTCTTCCTGTTCCTCTACTCAAGGCAGGAGACTAGGGATCACTCCAAAGAGGGACTTGGGAATGGGGATCCCTCAGAACCTCAAACTTTGCTGCTGACCCGGCCCAAGCTCCATCACACCCAAATTATGAGAGAGTTTTGTGAGCTCAGAGCCTCTACTCAGGGACCTCTGCAGATGACCCTCCATGTAGTCTGGCAAAGCAAGCCTCCCCAAGGTCAGCCCCAAGCAGGCTTCCAACACACATTACTGGGAGAAGGTCCAAGAAAGCCAGCACCTGGAACTTGGACAGTCCAGTCAAGTGGCCCATTAATCTTACTAGGCCAAGGAAGAAGGGCACCCACATAATCTTCCTGCATAAGGCCACTGTGGAACCTTCTGGGATGGTTGAAGAATATAGTAGCGCAGAGGCCCTTGCCTGTCATTCATATGCAGAGAAACTGCATAGCACTTTGAGGACCTGGGCAGGAAACAGCTCTGACTTCCCATCTGCTTTGGAGGTCCAGTCATCCTACTTGGAGGAACACTTTCCTTCCAGGTCTGTACAGCTCTGATTGGTCTCTTTGCTTCAGACTTAGGGAAGTTTGAAGAGGCTGGGACTTGCCAGGATCCAAGAACCTCCCTACTACCCTGGTGATGAGTCTTTGTGAGCCAAGGGCCTGGCCTGGTCTTTGTGGGAATCTGTGCTCACTTCACATGGTCTGGTGGGAAGTGCTGCCCTGTAGCCAGACCCGTAGTCTGTCAGGAGTGGTAGTCAAGCTCATTTCCGAATGAATGATTCACACAGTATTGGCACATAGATTGGAGAGGGTGGGTGGCAGGACCTGTGGATACCACATTGTTGATTGAGGTACTGACCCTGGGATATCCTGTGCTCTACTGGTAGATGATGCTTGCGGAGGTACCCTATGTGACCCCAGCCTTAGCCTACTGCTTACCACTCTGTCTCTGCCCCAGGACAAAATCACAGAGGAAGGCAGGTGGCGGAAGTGTACCACCATGTGACAGCATCGTCGTGGCCTACTATTTCTGTGGGGAACCCATTCCCTATCGGACCCTAGTGAGGGGCCGTGCAGTTACCCTGGGCCAGTTCAAGGAGCTGCTAACCAAGAAGGGGAGCTACAGGTAAGAGATCTATTGCCCCTTTAGTCTTTTATCTTTCCCTTCACCCGTCTTACCCCAACTCTGAGTGCTGCCCATATGTCAGGCTCATTGGGATTAGGTGGCATCAGGACTCTGCCTTAAAGCTGGACTGACCCTCAGTACTATCTGTCCTTTCCTCCACATGAGTCAGACTCAGAAACTCCAGATGACTTATACGAGAGTGACATGAGAGACTAGGAGAGCCTAGTGAGAGGATCAGCTCATGTGGAAGGCAGAGGTGGACCCCATGACCTCTGCTCTTTCTGAGTCAGAGGCCCATCAGCAGCCCCCTCACCTACCCATCCCTCCCCTGTAGCACCCCTGAGGCCAGGGCAGGGGCTCCCAGGGATTTTTAGCAATTTCCAGTAGGCTCTTAACTCAGCCCCTCAATGGACCCAGCTCTATTCAAAGTGTGACCACTGTACAGGGTAGTGGGACTAATGGGCTCAAGAATAGGCATTCCTCCTCTGGAGCTGGCTCTGCTCACTGCCACGGTTTTCTATCCCCAGATACTACTTCAAGAAAGTGAGTGACGAGTTTGACTGTGGTGTGGTATTTGAAGAAGTGCGGGAGGATGAGGCAGTCCTGCCTGTCTTTGAAGAGAAGATAATCGGCAAGGTGGAAAAGGTGGACTGATCACCATTGAGCACCATGCACAAGGTGCACCATCACTGAGGTGTACAGTCAGCCCAGTGGGCCACCTTGTCCTCAGGAGCCTGGTGTGTAGGGACAACACAAGATTATGTCATAGGCTCTTCCTGGCTCAGTATACCTCTGTCCTGGGTCTAGGGAAGTGGAGTCCTAAGTGGGTCCCATGGGCTTCTCTGTCTTGTTGTTAAAAAGGAAGTCCAGCCGGGTGTGGTGGCCCATGCCTTTAATCCCAGCACTTGGGGGGCAGAGGCAGGCAGATCTCTGTGAGTAAGGCCAGCCCCTGGTCTACATAGTGAGTTTTATTTTGATATATCACAGTGAAAGATTTATCGTCCTCTTTTTTTTTTTTTTAAAAAAAAAAAAAAAAAAAAAAAAAAAAAAAAAAAAAAAAGGAAGTCCTACCCACCCCACCCTACACAATACCAGGAGCACCTCATGCCCCCAGCAACCCTTGCTGCTGAATGCAGGCTGACCTAGTCTCCTGGGCTTGTCTGGTGTTCACTTCTCCCTCTGGAACCAGTTGTTGCACCTGGTTGGGTCCAGGCCCAGGAACAGGGGATCCTGTGGGGCCTCTGTAAATTGTACATGTCACTGAGTGCCTTCAACACAGCTGTCTCTTGCCTGCCACTGTGTGAATCTGGCGGCCAAGCACCTCAGGCCTCTTTGCCTATCTCCAAGCCACCAGCTTGGCTCAGCAAGATGGGTCTAGTCCCTTTCCAAGGGCCCATGTAAATATGTACATTTCTCAGGCCAGGGCCAGCAGGGGGTGCCCCAGCCCATTTTTCACACGATGACTTGTACAATTTATCTTTTCAAAGGTACTTGCCTAATAATGAAATAAAACAGTTTTTGAACCTGCCTTGGACATGGAGGATACTATCTACTACCCAGTGAGACAGGGCTGGTGGGTGTGCTGGCCTCTGAGGGGCCAGTGACATCTTGAGTACTTGTTCTTCATTCTTGCCCAAGCAGGTCCAAGTGGGCCAGGAGCCCACCTGAAGGGTCAGGCCCCATTGAAGTGGATTAGGCCCCAGACTGCTGAGACTGGGGCTAAGCTGGGCAGACCAGCAACCAGCTCTGCTCAGAAACCACACAAAATCTGGGACAAAGTCTTTATTCATAGCACACAGCTCCTTCCAACACTGAGGACACCACTTCTTGGGGTTCAGTGACAGAACAGCTACAGCTCCTCCTTGGGCCCCAGGGTGGAATTAGCCTGTGGCTCCTAGAAAGGGTCACAGAGGCCCAGCTCAGCCGTGCCCCTGCCCGTGCCCCTGCCCCTGCCCGTGCCCCTGCCCCTGCCCGTGCCCCTGCCCCTGCCCGTGCCCCTGCCCCTGCCCCTGCCCCTGCCCAGGGGCTGGATGGGACACCCACCGGGGAGGATACTGCAGGCTCCTCAGGCAAGTCACCCCCACTGTCCAGGAACTTGGAGAATGTTTCTAAGTCCCTGGTGCTTTTGTATTCTATCACCTGAAGGAAAAAAGGAAAGCCTGAGGGCACACTCCCCAGCCACAGCTGGTGGAGGAGTTGACCCTACCTCCCAGTCCATCCTTTCACCTTCCGATCTGGCCCTGCAGGGAAGAACTTGAGGGTGGGATAGCCGCCCACAGCAAAGGCTTCTAGCTCGTTGGCCGTGGAATCTAGCTCAGCAATGACAATGTCCTCATGGTCCTTATACTTCTCAGCCAGAGCCTCCCAGACTGGGGCCATCTCCCTGCAGTGGCTACACCATGGGGCATCTGGGGAGGTGTCAGGCTTGGCTAGCTAGACACCCCCCTCAGCCTGCCACCTTCTCCCCTCAGCACTCACAGAACTTCACAAATACATTCTTGGTTTCATCAAAAGCCACCTTCTCAAAATTCTTGCCCACGAGGGTCTTGACTGGCCGCTGGTCCCAGTCAGGGGGTACCTCCTGGCTCAGGAAATAGGGCTGCGGAAGCAGGCAGATCTTCACTGGAGGCTTGTGCAGGACCAGGCTCCAAAGACTCCTGCTCCTACCTCCCACCACCCTTTGAGATAAGAGCCACAGACCTTGACTTCCCCATGGAAGACTGCGTGGCAGAAAGCAGTCACAGAAGCTGCAGTGATGGGTGTCCTGCCTGTAGGTGCATATTTCTTGGTGGTCTCAATATTGACCAGGCGCAGGGTGGGGGCCTCCTCAGCCTTGAGGCCAAAGTACTGTAGCACATGGCCATTGTCAGCAGCCACGTCCACCATCACAAACAGCACCTGCCAAAAGGCGTACCATGCTGAGGTTTTCCTCAGCTCTGCCGCCCCTCCCTCCTAGCCCCCCAGTACCTGCCCCCGGAACGGGGGAGCTGCCTCCCTGAAGTCTGCCAACAGCTCCCTGTGCTGAGGTAGTGTCTGGTTCACAAACAGCAGCAGGTGGTTGAGAATTCTGGCAGCAAAGATCTTAGGAGATGTCTGTGGGTGGTGGGAGATTCATGACTTCCATGGGGCCCCTGTTCTGGGCCTCCCGCCCAGGGTCCCTTCACCCCTAACCCCCTACCTAACCTGAGGATCCCTCCACCCTAGCTCCACCTGACCTGCTGCTTCACTTGCCTGGCTGTTGAACTCTGTGACTAGGTGCATGCTGTGTGTGACGAGGAAGCGAGACAGGTCCCCCATGTCCAGGCCAAGCTCATCATCTACCAGGAAGTCGGCTCGCCCCTCATCAAACTGGACACAAGAAAGGTCAGCAGGAGCCACAGCCCTGACCCCAACCCCATCCTCAGCCCCAACTTACCTTCTTAAATAGGACCACAGTGTCCTTAGTGAGGCCAAACTTATGAAAGAGCTGTGGCCGGTCAGTGAAGCCGAAGGTCATATCCAGAGCATCCTTGGCCAAGGCCAAGAAGGTAGCCATGTTCTGCTCCTGCAGGTTCTATAGGCCCAGCCCTGTGAGAATGGTGAGTACCACAGGACTGTCCCCACAGCCTACCTACCCCTCCCACTTACCTGAAAAAAGCCAATGACTACTATATCCCGAGTGTCCATCAGTGCCTGGACACCCTCCTCATCCTCCAGACGTATGGCACTGGGCCCCACCCGTCGCCTCAGCCACTCAGCAATACCTTCAGCCTTCTGAGGCCCTGCAGAGAGTCCTCTCCTTCAGACTGGACCCCTGTCCCATCCCCTGGACCACACACACTCCACACCTGCATACTCCACTCCAGGCCACGCCCACACCATACCTGTATACTCTTCTGGGTGTGTGCGGTTGCCATTCTGGAAGAACTTGAGCGTGGGGTACCCTTCCACGCCAAACTCCTTTGTTAGCTCTGGCTCCGCAGGTCCATCTACTTTGGCTAACATGACCCCAGCTGACTCTGCTGCCAGCAGGGCTGCTGCCTTGCTGTACTCAGGGGCTAGTGCCTTGCAGTGGCCACACCATGGGGCATCTGGAGGATGAGGCTGTGAGTGCATCAGTCTTTCACAGCCCCAGCCCTGCCCTACCAGGTCCAGCAGGAAGCAAGTGTGTTCTGTTCACACCCTCCCTGGGGGGCAGGGGCCCACCCAGGGCATTGGTCACCAGGACACCTGGGTGCCAGACCCTAGAGACTCCAGGTGCAGGCCCAGTGAGATTTGAGAGTTTGAAAAGAATCCTGCTTCCAGACTCAGGGCCACATGTGGCTGCTTGCTGAGACCTGCCAGCTAAGAATGGCTTCAACATTTGTAAAGGGCTATAAGAAACCACAGTCACATATGCCAGAGGGACCTGCGTGGGCCACCTAGCCTGGACGCTGTACTTTTACCAAAGGACCAGCCACGAGCCATTTGGAGAAGAGGCCTTGAAGATGGTGACATTAATATATAGCATTGACTGGTAGACCAGGAGAGTGTAGCTGTCCTCCTGTCCCCAGGGTCCCCCCTACACTACCACCACTGCCTAATCTGTCTGGACCACCCCTAAGCCCAGCTCAGCACAAAAGCCTCCTGTCCAGGGTCCTCCCAGGAACAGGGCTCGGGGGTCAGAGTGCCCACAGAAAGGCCCAAGTCCAGGAAGTTGTGGCCTAAATCCCTGGGCTATCCCAAGCACTCACAAAACTCCACCATCAGGGCTGGATGCTCCTGTAGTGCCAGGCTCAAGGTATGGTTGCTCAGGAGCAAGATCCCATCCTCCTTGGGGACTTCCTCCCCAGGGGACTCCTCAGGGAGTTCCTCTGAGGGACCCTCAGGCCCTTGCCTCTGTCCACATAGGCCTGAGACCCCCAGAAGGAGCAGCAGCAGCACTGGCAAGAGCTGATTGTCCATGGCTGTGCTGGGCCTTGAAGGCTGGGGCAGATAAAGGGATCAGGGACCAAGCAGCAACAGCCACGTGGCACCTGGCCGGTCTCAGGGAAGATAAAGTCCGAAAGGCCCCCCCACCCTCCGAGGGGTGGGGTGAGGCAGAAAGAGGCAACACAAGGGCAGCGAGACAGGGTGACATTTAATGGGGCTGTTGGGATGCCAGGCAGGGGGCAGGACACAGCAGAGGGTGTGGGGTGTCTGGTCACCAACTGGGGGATTAGGGAATGCTTGCAGGTCCCTGTGCAACTGACAGAGACTGGGAACACAGTCCCCATGTGGGGTTCAGTCTTTCCAGTCCTGGCAGACATGGAGGCACCACTCCCAGGACAGGTGGTCCATCCTATCGTCATCAGTGAAGAGGGACCTGACCACGTAGGGGCCTCGTGCCAAAGTGCCCCTTGGTGCTTCCTCCACCGTAGTCACGAACTCATACTCCTGTGCCCTGGGGCCATAGCTGCCAACCATGTAGATGGCCTTGTCCACTGTGAGAGGGGAGGCCATCAGGGGCCACCCTCCTCCCACCATCCCTCCAGCCCAAGCTGCCCTCCACACTGCCTCACCGCACAGGCCCCGCCAGTAGGTGTGATGCAGACACTTGAGGCCACTGACAATCTCCTTGTTGACCTGGGGGACGGAGGATGTTAAGGGCTTCCTCCGGAAGGCTGGGCCATGGCTGGTCCCCCACCGCAACTGCCCTCACCTTGAAGGAGATCTTCACCTTGTACTCAATGCCTTCTTTCAGGACAAACACCTGGTTTTTCAGTGTAGCCAGGTCTCCTGTTAGGGAAATGATAGGTATACTCTGAATTCCCTGAATGTGCAAGTCCCTGCCCCAGGAATCTCTATGGGGACAGGGGCCTGTGTGATCTGTGACAATGCACCCAGGGACCTAACACTTGGCACAGGGATCCTACAAGGTCTTCATCCAAAAATGGGTTGTGATCTGCAAGAGGGGGTTACCTGTAAGGTCCATGGTGATAGGCCCTGGAGCCTGCTCCGAAATCAGTGTCAGCCTAGTCACCTGCACGTTGGGGAGGCTTGCGTCTGAGGAAAAACAGCATCCAAAGGGTGCCCTGCTGACCCTATCTTCCCCTCCCCCTGCTTGCAGCCCTCCACATCCAGACCTCAGGCCATACCCACAATGGGTGGCAGGGGTCCCAGCAGCGCCTGCTTGTACTTGACTAGGCTCACGTCCTCAGGGTCCAGCTGCCAGATTGCCAGCATGCTCTTCTTCCCAGGGGCCTGATACTCTGGTACAGCTTCATCCAGCACCTCATCTGATGGGGTTGGTTCCCCCTCCTTGTCAGCCAAGAGGACTGGGAGTGGGGGAAGGCTTGTGAGTAGGTGCCACCTGCTGACCCTGGCATTCAAGTGTCAAGCTGGGGCCCCCCACTCTCACCAGTTGTGCCTCCCACTGCCCAGTGGAGCTAAAGAAGCTGGAGGGGCTTGGGAAGAGAGTAGTCTTGGACAGCAGTGATGGCTTTGAAGACACTCAGTGGTTCCCAAGTCCCCAGGCTTGGCCTCTTCAGGAGGGACTCTGGTGTCTGGAAAAGGTTCCTAGGGGACCCTGGGGACACCAATTTGCTTCTGGTCAGCTTACAGACCACTTAATGAAGTGGTGGCCCTGGGGTACTCCAGGGGCTCCCCATATCTGTGCTCTTCCCCTAATGTCCTAAGCTCCTCCCATGGTACCCTAGACTAGGGGGTCTCCCTAGCACCTTCTGGTGCCTTGGAGCAGAGATCCTCCCCGAGATGCTATCCACTGTCCTCCAGCCTCAGGATTGTCACTTACCGGAAGGAGCCCCAGCCCCACCTAGGGGAGAGGCCCCAGCCTCCAGACTGGGCACACTCCTGTGCTCCTGGCTCCCTTCCCATAAGGGTCTCCCCAGAATGAAGTCCCCATGCATGGCCAGGATCTGCTCTACCAGAGGTCCTACGCGCCCCCAAAGTTGCCGCGGGGACGGACCCCAACCAGCGCCGCCCCCCCCCGCAACCCC